CTCTAGATACCCGTGAAAATCCACCAATACCATGAATAGCAGTCCACGTCATCACAAAATCCAGAGGACCAATAGCCTCCCTCCACCTCAGAAGATAAGACACTTTATCAATAAAATTATTGCAATTTGGAGTGGAATGGGAATGGTAACATAAATGGATTAAAATGGAAAAGAAATTGTGCTTGATTATTAGAATTTGGGATATTTCACTAATTCCGTAACTGCCCTTTTGTAGTTAGTGTGGGCCGCGTGTGGGCTTAGCGAGAATTGAAAACAAATTATTTTTATTTGTAGAATTTGCTTTAATATAATGGTATATTTTTAATAATTATTTACAAAAATGATACTTATTTCAAGACATTATTTTATATTGTTTTTTATGATGAAATTGAAATAAGTTGAGAGGTAACACCGAAAAAGGACAAGAAAAGGATTATGGAGAGATGTGATTATAAAAAATAGTATTAGGATTTAGGATTTAGGATTTAGGATTTTTTTTGGGCTATTTCACTATTTTTTTTCTTATAATCATAGTATTAGCATTTTCCTTTCGTAAAAACTGAAAAAGGATTAGGAAAGGAAAAAAAAAAAAAAATAGTTTCTCACTCTACACATAGTATTAGGATTTAGGACTCACTAGTTCTAATGTGCATTGTAATAGTAAAACCCCTGATTTAAATAAATCCATAGGTCAAAGCTCATTAATAAATAAATAAATAAATAAATAAAAAGGACAAAACACTTTAGGGAGTTTGCTGGGTAGGGGGCCTTTTGGTAATATCAAATCATTTTTACTGCTAGAAAGTGCAAAATACAGGTAGAATGTGGTCCTATCACCATTTTCCCCCAACAAATTTTGCAGAAGCCAAAACTTGTCATCTTCCTCTCTTCTCATCAGTCATCTCCATTCCACTTGCCACTTTCTCCATCTTAATTTTCAGTGAGATATAGAGCAAAAATAAAAAGATAAAAAAGAGAAAAAATACAGTGTGTGTTTCTACAGAAAATTCTGACCCTTTTATCTGACCTATCTCGTGACTCAGTGTGCCCAATATGCTGTCTCTCCCTTTTTTTCTCTCTCTCTATTCCACTGCATTTTCTTATTAAATATAAATACAGAGCATTGGGAGTCTTGGAAAAATGAAAATTTCCCTTATTCGGACCTTACAAGTTCTTACAGCTTTAGATATTTCATCCTAAAAAACACTTCTTTTTTATTTTGAATTTCTGGGTTTATCTCTTTTTGTGTATCCTCTGCTGATATAGATTCAAGTACACCCCTGCCTTCTGTGTGCTGCCTTGGAGTAGATATTGTAAAGAAAAGGAAAGGAGAAAAAGTTGCTCCTTGGGATTTATGTATTGATGTTATTTTCATGCAAGAAAGATTTTTCTTTCATGTTTTGATAACTTCAATGTAGTTTTTTTTCCCTTTCAACCATTTTCCACCGTCATTTGCTTCTTCTCATTTCTTATTTGTTTTCTTGAAAATGGGTTCTACTAATTTCTCCTAGTTTAAATAAAATATTGCTGCACTTTTTGGATTTTACTCTTTTCATTTCCCCTCAGTTCTTTATTACTTCCATAATTGTCCTTCACAGGCCCTTGATGACACATTTTCACAGCTTTCCCTTTACCTCTTCAATCAACTCCTGATATTTTCTTCCATATCCTTCCAAAAAAAAAGAAAAAAAAAAATTGCAGGGCAATTCAGCTCAATTCTTGAAATTTCTTACACACCAAAAATGTCATCTTCTTGTCTAAGTGGTGGCAGAGCAGCTGCATACAGACTCGAATCACTCAACCTGGACATGATAAAATCACCATCTTCAACCTCTTGGATCTCAAACTCATCTTCCCCTTCCTCCACACTCTCCGAATCCAGCAACTGCCCGTTAACCATCTCGACCCGAAAGCCCAGAACACCCCGAAAACGGCCCAACCAAACTTACAACGAGGCCGCAGCCATTCTCTCCACGGCCCACCCCAAATTGTTTCCCAAAAAGCCCAGCAAGCTCACCAAATCAATCCACAACAAAGATCTCACTATCCGACCCGACCCGCCCGATTTGCTCATGCCCTTTCGGGCCATTGATCATGAGTCGGGCTTTTTGCTGCGGGACACTCAAAGGCCCGATTTTTCGTACAAGCTGAACAGGGGATTGTGCCCGTTCGATAGAATTTGTCAGAGCCCCGGAGAAATTGAATCGAATGTCGGTGGATTGGAGGATTTTGACGCGGAGTCGATTATTCTTGATGAGGAGATTGGGGAAGGGATTAATTGCATCATGGGGGATTTGGGGGAAGGGATTGAGTTGATTGAGGGTTTTGATGTTTGTAGTGAGAGCAATAATAATAATAATAGTGATAGTTACAGTATTTACTCTAATGGCGGATTCTGTTATGGGTATCCGGTGGGGCTGGGGTTCGGGTTTGGGTTCGGGCCGGGCGGGGTGAGGAAGGAGAGGAGGGATGTCGATGATGGGGGAGGGGAAGATTGGTGGAGGTTCCCGAGCGTGAGCGCGCCGGAACCGAATTCGACGGTGGCGGCGGCGGCGGCGGGGAGAGGTGTTCTGGAGGAGAAGAAGAAAAAGAAGAAGAAAGTGGCGGAGATTAGGGATAATACGGTGGCGGAGGAGGCGGAGGAGGATGGGGTCGGGCCGCGGTGGAGTGGGGCCGGGCTGATGCTGAAGCTGAACTATGATGGTGTGCTGAGAGAGTGGTCAGACAAGGCTTCGCCGTTCACCGGCGAGGGTCCGGCGGCGGAGGCGGTCGCCGGAAATGATGTGCAGGTGTGTTTTCTTTTGGGACTTTTTTAAATAAAATAATGCCATTAAATCTATGTGGCGCTGTTGATGGCGTGCCACGTGTTGCATGTGTTGATGGTTTTAATTGTTTATCTATTATTATTATATTAGTATTTATTTTGTGAGAAAGTAACTTTTCTGGGCAATCATGATTTCTGCATTATTTGAAGTGGGGTTTTATTTTGTTGCTTTTAGCTCTGCTTTTCTCTGTTTATTTTATTTTTTTTTTTTTGTGTGTTAAATTTGACCGCAATCAATGGACTTGCCATTAAATTTTACCATAACTATAAAAATTATAGTACTTGAAAATTAGTGCTGTCTGGATGGTCCCTTCCCATGTCATGGTAATTTTTGTTATCTTATTTGAAAAAGAAAAATAATACCTTTGGTATGTTTTGTAGTTAATGTGCATCAGCCATCACGGAATAATAAATTGAACACATTCTTGTCTGAAACTCGTTATATGTGTTTTCCTTTTCATAAAACTGCATAACTATACTAAGAAATTTGATATTTTTACTTATGCTATTTTTTTTAAATAAATCATTTCAATTTACCCGTTGGTTCGAAACAAATTACAAATAGCAGTTCATATTGTCACTTGCGAAACTAACACAAAGTAAGACAAAAGCTGCTGCATTATTTGTACTCGTTGACTTAATTAGAGTTAATTACACGTGTTATTTGTACTCGTTGACTTAATTAGAGTTAATTACAACTACAAGTTGCTCAGCTTGTTTTATTAATTTATATCTACAAACAGAGAGTGCAGTTGAATTGGGAGGTGAACTTCATTTTTTTTTTTTTGGTATGAGGAGATTTAATGTGATTGGTTTGTATGCAGGCAAGATTGGCACAAATAGACCTGTTTTCGGATAATGGAGGGATTAGAGAGGCTAGCGTGCTGCGTTACAAGGAGAAAAGGCGCAATCGCCTGTTTTCCAAGAAGATTAGATATCAGGTCCGCAAGGTCAATGCTGATAGACGACCCCGGATGAAGGTTTGTCGAATTTTTCAAGTTTCAAATGCACAAAATAATAAGATTTATGCACATATTCTATGTTAAACAACATTTAAATGCAAGATATATCCCGCTAATTTTCATATATGGCGTACCATGCTAATATATTGATGAAAGTTTCAGTTTTTGAACTTGTGGAGTAAATGTTATGTTCTTCTAACATATTTACTTTTACTTATTGATTTTGTAGGGACGATTTGTTAGAACACCAAATTCCTCCGATGATTGAAGACGATGCGCGAACAGACCAACTAGCTAGCTTCCTCTTCCTCTTTTTTTGTAGTTTACATCTTGAGTTTTAGTTTCTTTTGAATTCATAGATTTTCTTACACTGATATAATGTTTTCAGGAAGGTGTAGACTAGCCATGCTAAGAGTTGAAACAAATATTTTGGACTCCTTTTTCTAGAGGCTTAAATTGATATTTCATTTAAGTGTCCCCCGTTATTGGTTTATGCATTAGAGATCCATGTTTGCTTATGCTAAGAAATTTGAACTTTAACCTACCACCAAAATCATCTAAAAAATTGATTTTGTACCAATTTTATGGTTTCATTTTTCGTAAGTTGAGAACTCAAAACCATTTTAAGGTGAATAATAAATTAATTCTAAGTTGTATATGTGGGAAATATAAGATTTGAACAGTTGATTTTAAATGACTCATTTATTATTGGATTCCCACAATATTGTGTCTTTGACGAATGTTAGGATAAGCCAAACGAGACCTATTCATGCAGTTTGCATGCGAGAACTCTAGAAGGGTTCGTTGGGGACGAGTAGGAAAAATAAAAACTTGATTTTGAGTCTGAATGAGCTCGTACGAGCCTGCCTGCAATTGGCTGTTCGGGCACGTCCCAAAAGGTGTATTTTGACACTTAAAACCTATGTAGGTGTTTTTCTACATCTTAAAATCATTAAAAATCATAATATTAAGAGCTCTTGCATTACATTTTTAAAGTAAAACATATTGTGTTCTTTGATATTTTCACTAAGCCCTGAAAGTTTCAGACAATAGTATTGTTCGCCGAAGGCTTGTATATATATTCAAAATACCGCTATATACAAGTTAAAAGTCGTTGTATCTTGGAAGCGTTTGCCGCTAACCGTGGGTATGTTACGGGACAATTTTGTCTTAAGGGGAACATAACTATTACGTGCCTCTACATTGATTTTGTCTTTGTTTTCTTCATTCCCCTTAGCCATTTCCTCGATATTTAGAAACCGCAAATAAACAAACTTAAGACGAAATTTTGTGAGTTCATAAGATGGAAACCAAACATTTTTATCAAGTTCTTAATCGACCGATTCACCGGCTACTAATCCCTTCAACCCGATGGTAGTCACTTCCATCCAAGGTGAGAAACCTCTGAAGTTCAATGGCTCCGATTTCAAGAGGTGGCAGAGAAAGATGTTTTTCTACCTCAAACTCTCTTCTTCTTTCGTTTTCTTTCAGAGGACCCTTTGATCGTCTCCGAAAGTGAGACCGATGTCCAAGAGTATACGATCTCTGAAGTTTGGTATTATGATGATTTCCTGTATAGAAATATCATACATAACGAACTAAACAACACACTATATAATGTGTATAGTCCAATTAAGACAACCAAGAAATTATAGAATTACTTGGAGGTGAAGTACAAGATGGAAGATATCGGGATTAAGAAATTTCTCGTCAGTAAATTCTTAAAGCACTTGATGGTTGACACCAAGTTAGTGGTTAGCCAAGTTTGACAGATTCAAATAATCCTTCATGATATATTGGTCGAGAGATTGATTGTGAACGAAGCCTTTCAAGTGATAGCTATTGTTGAAAAGTTGTCTCTCTTGTGGAATGACTTCAAGAGTTATCTTATGCATAAACGCAAAGAGATAAAACTAGAGGATTTGATAGTTCGTCTTCGAATAGAAAAAGATAATCGAAAATCTAAAGTACTGGTCAAATGGAGCGAGTTAGAGGCTATAGCAAATTTGGTCGAGTCGAGCTCGAGTAAGAAGCGCAAAAATGCTTCTCAAGCCAAACCACATTAGGACGCCAAGAAATCTAAGGGATGTTGTTATGACGGTGACAAACCTGTGTACTTTGCCAAGATTACTGTTGTCCCATTTTTGTTACGTTTTTCCTTGTTATTTCTCATTTCTTTTTCTCCTACTTTAGGTCTTTTCGTTGGGTTTTAATCTATTTTATAGTTTATTTCGTGGTTTGTTCTATTTTCTTTCTATCTTGTGTCTTTCGGTCGTTTTCCGGTTTTTCGTCGTCGTTGGTGTGCAGGTTGGAAGTCTCGGAAAGATGGGATTTCAGTAAAATATTAGTCGGGCATGCATAATTTAAAAGAGGCGTTCGTTGGCGACATGTAGGAAAAAGCGGAACTCAATTTCGAGTTCGGACGTGCTCAAACGAGCCCGAGACGTGAAGTCGTGCAAGCTGCCTAGACCCTAGCGCCGCTAAGGGGTTAGCGGCGCTAAGGGTGCAGAAACTAGTGGCGTTTGAAGCTTAGAGACACGCTAGCGACGACAGAGCCTTTTCGGCTAAATTGGGGTTAACCCCTTAGCGCCGCTAAAGTCCGATTTTTAACAGTTGCGATTTTTTTGGAATTTCGAAATGGAGGGTTATAATATCGAGCTTAGGGTATTTTTCAGACATCTTTGAACATTGTATTTCGATTTTTTTCACTCCCAAAACACATTTTCTCTTGGTTTTGATTGGGATTTCAATCTTGAATAGAGAGAATTCCAAGATTAGACTTTTGGATTTGGATTGCTCATGGTTTTTCGACATTGGATTCGTTATTAATCGTAAGCATTTCTTTTCATTTTATACATGAATGTTATGGCTTTGTTTGATGAGATTGTTGGAGTTGAATCGATCATGAGTAGCTAAAAATCCTTAGGCTAGGGATAGGAGATTAATGTTTTGATTTCGATTGTGATTGTCGTGTTCGTTGATTGTTTTTCTTATGCGAGTTGATCTTTTAAAAGGGTTTTCTAATTATCATACTTGAATATTGAGGATTGTTGAAGGGTGACACTTCAACCTCCAATTGATTTTCAATTGAGTCTGATTTATTCTTGAATGATATTGGGTATTCTAATTGATTAGTCGGTTAATCGCCCTCTAGTCTAATTTAATCGACTCTTAGAACTGAAAGGGGAGGAGTCGAGCAAAATAGGCTCGTATAAGCTAGGCTTGTTCGTAGCTGTATTGCCTAAGTGTTAAATGACTTGTTAATTTGTCATTCACGTTTGTTCTCTTGTTACGAAGAGTTATTGAGGATGAGTACTTGAACGAACAGGTTATTCAAATCACTTAACTGAACAATCACTTGCCCAACAATTGCATATCAAATCAATATTATTATCCTCGATTCCCTAGCTACCTTATTCTAGTTGATTGATTGCTTTTACTCTGCTTTCTGAATTTGCGTTTTTATATTCTTAGTTGTTAATCAAAAATCAAACCAAAATCTGGGTTAGAATGTTTAGGAATTTTATTTCTTTTATTTGTGCTTGAATAAATGTGCATAATATTCCGGCTAGCCTTCCTCGTGAGACACGACCCGGTGTTCGAATCTTTTGATTTAACTCTGGTAAAAATTACTACAACAAATTGGCGCCATTGCTGGGGAGGGTTTAGGACGTATTTTGTGCGTTTATTCACTTTATTTTTATTCTTATTTTTATTGTTTTTATTTCCTTTTGTGTCTCTCTTATTTCTTGTGATTTCTTGTTTCGGTGTTTCTCTTTATTTTTCCTATCGTGTCTAGTTGTTAGCTCTCTCTTTGCCTTTTGTTTTCATTTATTTTCTCTTGTTTATCGTTGGTGCTTGTAACCCCTTTTGTTGTTTGAGTGTATGCGTACCAGGAGTGGACGTATACTAACACCGAACGACAAAATCAATCCCGAGAACTTGAGTGAGCTGTTTTACAAACTCAGCCTCGATTCATCCGAAACCACCAAATCAGAGATGGCTCAACAACCTCCTCGTGATCTTCTCCGAGACCTGGCCCAACCCATGATCGGGCCAATCACTTCATGCATCCGGTTGCCACAAGAAGCTCGGAACTACGAGCTTAAGATGATCCACTACAATCAGCTCCCATCATCCCACGGGCTCCCCAACGAAGACCCACTCCACTTTCTTCGGGAATTTTACAACGTCCTCCAGACATTCCCTCTACACGAGCTGAACGAGGACCAACTCAAAATGCAGTGTTTCCTAAAGACTCTGAAGGACCGGGCCAAGGCTTGGTTCATGACCCTCACCCCGGATTCTCTAACAACTTGAGCTGAAGTCTACTTGAAATTTGTCGGGAAGTATTATTCCCATCAGAAGACCCAAGACATCCGGTCCCAGATAGTCTCTTTTGCTCAACTGCCAAACGAGCCTCTTCACGAGGCTTGAGAACGTTTCAAAGACCTCCAGAGGTAGTGCCCCCACCACAACCTCGCTCTAGGGCTATTAGTGAATTGCTTCTACGACTCCCTCCAACAGAACCTGCAATACATGGTGGATAATGCAGCCGAAGGTGACATCGGGGCAAGAACGGCGGAGGAGATGATGGTGATATATGAGATGATGAGTGCTAACTCATCTCAGAAGAGCGTCCGTGGGAAGAGGTCTACAGTGAATGAGGTTGGTTCGAGTAATAATGCCATGGCCCAGCAGTTAGCCGAGCTCACGGAACAGATGCGGCTACTGAATGCTCGAAGTTCCTCGCCGATTCAGACGATGGCAGTAAATGCTTGTGGAGCATGCAGAGTACACGGACACAGTTCTGAGGTGTGCCCTATGGCTATCGAGCCGAACTATGGGTGGCAAGGAGCTGAACTGAATGCAGGCAAGGATATTAGAACAGGCCCGGGAATGACCCGTACACGAACACATATAATCCCGGATGGAGAAACCACCCAAGCTTCTCTTGGTCGAACAACAACTTCCAGCAGCCACCTCAGCCTATCTTTGTCCCTCATCAACAGCAACATAGGGGACAAATGTTAAGGCTGCCAGCACCAGAAACCGTACCAACCCCACCGAGCATGGACGACAAGCTAGACAAGATTCTCAATTTTATCACCAACCAGGATGCTTCCATTAAGCGTCTTGAGACACAAGTGGGCCACCTAGCCACATGGGTTGGGACCATTGAGACTGAACTGAACAGAGAAAAGTTGCCGAGTCAGCCCGAGCATGCAAATGTGGTGACTGTGATTATGCCCGAAGAGAAGAAAGGAGAAAAAGAGGGCCCGAATGAGCAAGAGAGAACAGAAAAAGCCCCAGTGACACCACCACCCGAGCCTACTTATCCCCGAATGCTTACAGATCGAGAATCCCCTTCCCCAGCCGACTCTTGGAGGAGAAGGGCCGCAGAATGGTTTGGGACCTCCATGCGATGTTGGCTAAGGCCAATGTCCACCTATCTCCTCCCGAGGTGTTGAAGAAAATACCGGCTCATGCACGATTCTTCAAGGAAGTGGCCACGAATAAAAAGCGGTTCGACGATGATGATGAGGTGATAATTTGTGAGGCGGCGAGTGTCTTCCAGCACGACTTGTCGAAGAAAGAAAGAGACCCCGGTGTCTTTGTGATCAACAT